TCAGAGTTAGTGTTCCTGTCATTGCATCATGATGGAAAGACAGTCTCATTTTCTACAAAGCCTTTCCTTGCTTTTATTGAGATTCTGCTGTCTTCCCTCTGTGAATTCACTGGGACGTGTTATCCTGAATCTCTCTTTTGGAACTTAACATGCTACCCTTATAGTGCTGGGGAACCTTTCATATGAGGAAGCAGGTGAGGAAAGCAAGCTCTGAGCTAAGATTGCCTGGGTCTGAATTCTAGCTGAACTAGTCATTCGCCGTGGGGGCTTTGACTCTTCCCTAACCTGACTGGAAGCTTCCTTTTGTTTCCTCATCTACAGAATGAGAATCTACTTCACAGGATTGTTGTAAAGATTACCTGAGCTAATGAATGCAAAGATTCTGAACAATACTTGGGATATTGTAAATCACTCATTATTAAGGTTATTCTGCTTTCGATTTTTTCCATTCTTGGTGGGCAGGCCACGTGGTAACAGGGAGCTGGCTGAATTTTCCTCATGACCCATAGTTTGCTGATTCCTGCTCTAGGATGTGAGGAGCAAAACGCCCCCTTCCTCCTTCACCTAGGAGGCATCTGGGCCATCCTTCTCCCTGATGACATCCTTCTGGATGAGCACAGCTTCCCTGAAGTTACAGGTCTGACAGGGAGGACCATAAATGCCTGCACTGCCAGCTCCGTCAGTGTGAGAATGACCTGGATCACACTGCAGGCTGGCCCTGGCCAGTGACTGCTGGATTTCTGGACTATACAGGGGGCTCCTGGCAGCAGCCTCCACTTTACAGATAGTAAGCGGAACTTCTAGTGTGGGGTTTGCACAAAATCCAGATTTCTTCTCAGATTTAAATCCATACCTACTGTCAGTGTGGTACTCCCCTCTGGTTCCACACTTGCAGTGTCTGGCTCGTCAGGTCAGGCCGATGAGCTTCCGTGACATCCTTTCTATAATGCAAGTTAGTTCTGTATGGAACCCCACAGATACTGAGACGCCACTGGGCACAGCAGCTCTGACGACCTGTGCAGGTTTCAACCTTGACAGCTGAGCTCTCTGGCATTGGGCCTCCGAGCGGGCTGCTGAGGCCAGCAGGGACCATGAACTCTTCAAGCTCACGGGCTTCACTCTTTTTATGTCCCTGAGCTCTTCGCATCCACTTCTCAGCTCTTTTCTTGCCATCCCTTCTGCTTTCACTTTAAATATTAGCTTGATTTGATTTATCCATTTGCTTTGATTTCAGCAAACTTTTGCTTGTTAATCAGCTTTCATCAGTATACAAAAAGGTACCAGCTCACTCTTGGCTCTCTCCTTTGCTCAACTTCAGAAAACATCCCAGAGGACTTAGGGCTTTGATTGTGTTCCAGCCAATTTCCCTCGTCTTTACATAGAAGTTCTTAGAAGCATCTGCACATCAAAATTCAAGTAAACAAGGTGCTCGGATGCCAAGCATTTCCCACCATGCCAATTCCTGATCCTTCCTCTTTCTCATTGTGAAACTGTGGGTCACCTCTAACCAGGGTGATGGAATTTATCATCCCTACTGGAACACTTTTGGAGTGAACGAAGCATCAACCAGAGAGGATTCATGTACTGGTACTAAATCATGAGAGATTTGTCCACCAAGTACACCCATCTTATAAAGGAGACAGATTTGGCTGGGCGCGGTGACTCACACCTGTAATCCTAGCACTCTGGGAGGCTGAGGTGGGTGGATTGTTAGTGCTCAAGAGTTTGAGACCAGCCTGAGCAAGAATAAGATCCCTTCTCTAAACATAGGTGGGCACTGTGGTAGGTGCCTGTAGTCTCAGCTACTCGGGAGGCTGAGGTAAGAGGATCGCTTGAGCCCACGAGTTTGAGGTTGTTGTGAGCTATGACACCCCAGCACTCTAGTGAGGATGATAAAGTGAGACTCTGCCCCCTCAATAAAAAAATAAAGGAAAGAGGCTTTAACATACATACTTCTAAGATAATGTTGCTTTCCTGAATCCCAACCACTCAAAGACCCCAGAGACGTAAGCAGTTAAAACGGAGAGGTGATGCATATTTATGCTGCTGGTTGAGCTGGACCTGGTGAAAAGCTCTGGAGATAAAGGACATCTTCTATATAGTGTTTGTGGCTACACGGCTTTTTCTGAGACCCTCGCTCCCATTCTGAAGCCCCCTGCAGTATGATGAGCCTGAACCTCTTACCCTACCTCCAAGTCCTGGACACGCCTGGGACAGGCACTTCCCACAATCAACTGCCTTTGCGTCCATGCATACGACATCAGTGCCAATCTTCTCCCCATCTCCAGACAGAGTCCAGGTATGGGTCCGGAGTGCTGCTCATCTCAGTATTGCTATGGGAGGCATATTTCAGGGACAACCAGTGTACTCTAGAGAGGACTGGGTCAGAATGGTTCAGAAAGGCTGAAGATGTCCTTCCTCTGCAGAGACACCAGCCTTCCAGAAGTGTGCTCACCTACCCACACAGGCCAGGCAAGCCCCAGGGCCTGGGCCTTTGTGCCAGCTCTTCCCTTTCCCTGAAATGTTCATTCCACAGCAGCCCCATGGCTCACTTCCCCTCCTGCAAATCTTTGCACAGATGCCACTTTCATAGAGAGGGCTTCCTTGACTGTCTTCTCTCCCCTCCCCTGCCCCCCGCAGTGGCCCTCCCCACCCCCACCTTTGAAATCTCACCTCTCTTCATCTTTTTATCAGCATACATAATAGAAAATGCACTGTCTGACTCTACCACTAGAATGTAAGCTCCATGGTGGAAGTGGGGGGTCTATCTTGCTGGCTGCTGCACCCCCTGTGCTGGGCACAGTGCCGGGACAGCACAGGGGCGAAGAGACACTTGCAAATAGAAGGACTTAGCCTTTTGTCTTGTGGCGAGAGGAGCCAGTTGTCCCCCTGTTCCAGCCGGTGCCTCCACTTGTGTTCTGAACTGCATCCCTTCTGGCCTTCTGAGACTTTCTTATCCACTGTGAAAATTCTGATATTTACCCTAAACCTGGCGTGTGTTGGGCTCTGCTCCAAAATTACGCATTAGTTTTGTTAAGCCTCATAATAGGGGCGGTGCCTGGGGCTCAAAGGGGTAGGGCGCTGGCCACATATACTGGAGGTGGCAAGTTCAAACCCAACCCTGGCCAAAAACTGAAAAAAAAAGAGCCTCATAATAGCCCTGTGAAGCAGAAACGATTACCCATTTCTAAGTAAGAAGAAACTGAGGCACAGAGAAGGTGAGAAACTTGCCTGGGCCACACAGCTACCAAGGAGGGACACCAGGATTGGAGCCCAGTAGGCTGACTAAAGAGCCCAGCTCCTAATTACCATGCCAGACTACAGGTCTACCCCCAGTGCTGCTGACATTGAAGTACGTGTTCACCTTAAATAAACAACCCTACCTTAATTCCACATTCCCCTCAGCTATTTCTCTGTCTCTCCCCAGCACAGCAAACTTTGTCCCATTTGTCTACAATAGTGGTTTCTTATAGATGCCACCTCCTGCTCCTTCCACTCCAATCCGGTTTGCGTCCCCATCACTCCATCAAAAGAGCTCTAGTGCCACCTTACAAGGGGGCATTTCTCAGCCCCCTTTTACTCAGACCCCATCAGCATTTGACAATGGTGGACACCTCCTCCATCTGGGACTTCCTGGGTCTGGTCCTCAGCTTCTGCCGGCTCACCAGGTGGCCCTGGACAGACCTCCTTCGTGGGGGTTGGGGGGGAGAAAGGCAAGTGTCCCTGTGGGCGCCCTCTGGAGGAAACTGGCTGTTGGGAAGAGACAAGACAAATGGCCCCGAGTAATGGGATGGGTTAGAGTCCTCGGGGCATCTTTAGATTCCTTCTGGCTCAGAAAATCCATTATTTTAAATCATCTCCTCGTAGCACTTCCATTTACAATGACATAAAATCCTTCCTTGATCTTACTGTTCCCCTGGCAGAGGTGCCCCAATTAAAAACTCTAGATATTTCTCTATTCACACCCAACAAGATTTTGTTCAGCATTACTGTTTATAGTTTTTCTTACAAAATGATAGTTTTATAAAATTCCCAAACACAAAACATTGTTGAATATATTTAGTTTGAAATATCCCTCTTGAATGTATTTAGTTTGAAACATCTATATATACTACATATATACATATTTCAAACTAAATATATATATATACTGTATATATATGGTCTATTTCAAACTGAATACATATACTATGTATGCTGTATTGTATATACTGTAGACTTTACATACTGTAAATATACTATATATATAGTATATTTCAAACTGAATATATATACTCTATGTATTGTAAATACATATATATACACATATACATATTTCAAACTAAACAGCCTTTCTTCTCCCACCAAAGTTCACTCCCTAGGAGTGATGCCACCACCATTTCAGGTGACAATTTTCATCCCAGACAGGTGCGTTAACAATACACTTTCTTAAAAGGAGATGCAGATTCCCAGAGACCAATTACCAATATGTACAACTTTATTCTCTAAGCCCCACCCTGTACCAGAGGCATATAAACTATCGTATTCCTTATTTGGTTTTAGAAATAGGACACTCAGTCTCCAAAGAGTGAAGCCATTTGCCCAGGGTCACCCAGCGCATACACCAGCAAAGCAGGGAGGGACTCACTTGTGGTCAACATGTAGCCAGACCTTGAAGGCCTGCAGAGAGCTGCCCCCGGCACCTGGCCCTGGACCTCCTGCACAAAAGTATCTAATATACAGTTGAGGAGGCGCCAGAGAATTAAGAGGAAGCAAAGGTTACTCACCACATAGTTGTGAGACAGTTGGTTAGCTAATTGGGAAAATATTCAAGTTAGACTACAGTCACACCACACCAGTAAAGATCAAATGTGACCCAGCCGTTAACAGCTATGCTTAGGAACGGTCTTCTACGAAAAGTCATCCGATCCTGCATTGTCCAGTTATGGTGTCCGTAGTGACAGCCACTGGCTCTCACGCTGCAGACACATTGTTAACCTCGGCTGTCATTTTCCCTTTTTTATTGTAGAGGAAATATACTACCAGGAAACCTTCACCAAGAGGCTGGCGGCCCCGGAAACTTCTCATTTCATTCGCGTCACATGGCACAGATAAATCCATGCTCTTTAAAGAGAAGCAGAACGCCGTGCGGCATGCCACACTTTGCTCTTGAACCTGCCTCGAGGGGGCCTGAGAGACCTCTGCCTCCAACCTGGCTTGCTTCCATCTCTTTTGTTCCTTTCGTCACTGGCTGGCACTCAGAGGCAGCATCTCTCTGAGCGCCAGCTGCAGCCTTTTCCTGAGAGAATATCCCTGGAGGGCACTCTGGTGGGGAGGACTTTGAAGTCACTTTTCTTCCAGAAGTTTGATGTGTCCCCTTCCCCGCCCTGCCTGGTCCCAGGGAAATGGCCACTCCCTCTGCTCCAGCAGCCTCAGCCGTCACCACTCAGGAAGACTGGGTGTCAGACAGAAGGAGAATGGATGGGAGCACTAGGGAGGGAACCGGAGGTCTGGTCCCGATGGCTACTAGTTTTGCAGCCCTAGTTCTTTCTGGGTCTCGATGTCCTTCTTTATAATTGGGGTCCCGGTGTAGGATACAATGGGGGTACTGGACAGATATGACTGCTAGTTGCATTGTTGCCGAAGGTGGTGGCTACTGCTCTTTGGAACAGAAGAAACCATTTGCTGTGTGTGGAGTCCTACAAGTCCCTTCGGAACAGCTGTCCTCAGGGAAGTTGCTTCTCAACAGTGCAGCCCTTTAGGGAGAAGTAAGAAGTGGTGGGGGACAGAGCAGTGGGGAGTCAGCGCGGGAGCTGTGCCTCCCACTGCGGCTTCCGTGGTGGAGGCTGGGGGCCGTCCGGGGAGGTCCGCTGGGGATTAAACATGTGCACTTTCTCTTCTTCATCCGGAGAAGCACATCTGAAAGTCATGGGCCGAAAACTGGGTGAGGCATGCCCAAGGTCCACGGGGCAGTGCGGGACTGAACCCCAACGGGACCCCCACAGTGTGGCCTGGGCCCTGCCTGCGTCATGTGGCTGACCACAAGGTCTGTCTGCTCTGCCAGTGAACTGAGTCCCTGAAGTTTCCCTGAGGCCACAGGGACACTTCCCTCCTGCCTGGAGCAACACTTCCTCCAGGTTTCTCCCTCCCTGGGACATTGGGGGTGCAGCACTGACCACTTGTCCAAGGCCTGACTTTCATTGTCCATCTAATGCTGGTGACCTCTGATCTGCCTCTGGTGGTGTCTTGCTCCTGGCGCCAGCATCACAGCACATCCTGGGTGTCTTCACATCTTCCTCCCTCCTGGCTTCCTCCCCATATTCTCGAAGGGAATGGCGGCCCCCTTAGTGCCTCTGGGACATACATGTATGTGTGTGTGTGTGTGTGTGTCTCTCTCTCTCTCTACATATATATCTCTCTATATATGTGTATCTATATAGTCTATTTCAAATTGAATATACATACTATATATATATTGCATGTATATGTGTGTGTGTGCTTTTATTCCAAAATAAACAGTTTCTCTCCTCCCACCAGAGTTCACTTCCTGGGAGTGATATGTGTCTATACTCCCTGCTCCCCCCACACCACCATGTGCCCTTGGATTAGAGCTCACTCACCTGAGCAAGGCAGGTGCTGGCATCCTCACCCCTGTGCCCTGGTCACTGCCGTGGCCTCCGTCTTATCTCCCTGTGTGCAGAGACTGCTTCTCTGCCCACCCCTCCCATGCAGGACCCAGCTTCCTGAAATACACAGCACAATGCGTCTCTCCTGCATTCAAGATCAAGTTCCGATTCCTTAGCACAGCACAGAACACCCTTTCTGAGCTTGATCACATCTTTTACTTTTCCACGCATCCACTTTCTAACTCTACAAAGCAAGGGAGAGTTTCTGGAATGTCTAAGTCACATTGCAGAGTTGTAGCTTTGAATATCATGGTGTCTCTCTGGAACCCTTTACCCTGTTTTTCATCTGCTGAATTCAAAGTTTATAAACTTCCAGCCCCAGGTCATACCAGGCCTAAGTATGTATTTGGGGGCCTACCTAACAGTAAACCTTTTAAAAATCAGAGACCGATATTTAAAACTCAAGAGACTGGTCATAATAAGATGTCCTAATTTCTGGCTCTTTTTGAACAGTCAGAAGATCTGGCAACATGGAACCACAGTAATTGCTGGAGCGGGGAAGCAGCAGTGTCCCTGGGTGTGCGTGGAGGTGGGAGGTGTATGCTGTATTTCTCCAAGGTTCACACCTCTCCCTGCTGCCTTACACTGAGTTGCTTCTTACATATGTGACCTGCCTGATCCTCAAGGCTTTTGAGTTTGAGATGTCTAGATTCACCGTCCTATCAAGTAGCAAAATTCAGCTCACCTTCTCCACAACTTCCCGACCCAGAGCCCCTCTAACACTAGGTACAGCAGGCCTGAGGACCTGAGGGCCTGGCGGAGGCTGGTGGTTTCTTGCTCCGTCTCAGTGGTAGATGACAAGATGCATATTGATAAAAATCAAGCAGAAGCAGGCGGAAAACCCAGGGACAGTAATTTTCACTCAAGTAATGTGCAGAAAATAAAGTGCTAGAAAAGAAAATTCCAGAGCTCTGTGCTTGTGAGACACCTGCGTGGCTGCTTTCTTGATTGAAACCTTTCTGACCAGCCAACTGGTAGAACAGCATGAGGAAACCAGCCTTGGCCAGGAATACTCAGACTCAGCTGTCTTCAGGTGTCAGCTGGGGTCTTCATCCCCACCCCTCCCACTGTGTTCTGTAGGTACCTGAGACTTTGGGGAGAGAGAGGTGGGAGAGAGCTTCTGCTCCCTGGGTCCTCCCTTGAGCCTCTTCCTAATTGCTTGGGGAAGCCCAGAGATGGGATCCAGCCATGCTGATTTAGGGCTTGCACCCAACCAATGCCACTGGAGTGGTGGCAGGTGGGAGAGGGTGGTGGCTCCCAGGACTATGGCCAGGTCCATGCTAGAATCAGGTGTTTAAATGGGGGCTTGGGAAGAACCCCGCTCTGAAGGACAATATCGGGAAGAGTAATACAGCAGAACTCCACAGCTGACCGCCTCCCTACACTGACCACCTCCCAAGTTGACTTCATTTTCCTATTCTAGACACCCACCACATGCTCGTACCAGTACAGTAGGCCTAGTTCCTTATGTTGCCCGCCTCCGTATGTTGACCACTGTGTTAGTCCCTTGGGTGGTCAATGTACAGAGTTGCTACTGTCATCACCAGCGTGAATCCTGCCTGGGCTCTGGCCCTGGGGCAGTCCTTGCTGTGGCTTTCCTGCTTTCCTCCTTCCCGCCCACCCCACCCCCAGGAGCGGGGCACTTTTCGTCCTTGCATTTCACTTAGAGATGTTATTTGTCATGGGCAGAGACTGACTGGGAGGGGACAGCTGAAGACAGGAGTGGAACCTGTCTTCTCTGCTTGTAGATGATCTCCAAATCAGGAACTAGATGCAAAGGTGGCAGGGGAGGGGGTGGTGGTGGTCCGGACTTAAGCTGAGTCAAAACTGGGACTTGGGGTAATCGGAACAAAGTGACAAGAGACACCAAGAGGGCAAGGCCGGGCGGTCAGTGTCCCTGGGCCACCACACATGACTCCAGGCAGATGCCAGAGCTTCCTGGCCAGAGTGAAGAAGGGAGGTAGGAAGTGAAGTCAGGGCGAGGGGCGTGTGTGCAGGGCCCTGTGCCCTCTGACTATCCTATGGCCTCCCTCTTGAGGGATCTGACCCTGTGTTTTGACTGTTTCCACCAGATTCCGGTAGGAGATGCAGGCTGTGCGCAGGCTGGAAGGCTGGTTTCGGTTACGAACACCCTCAGGTGAGAAAGGCAAAGATGGGGTTAATAGGTACCCTGCTCCTTTGCTCCTCCCATTGCCCTGAGTACCAGACTCCCAGGGTGGGCTGGGCCTGGACAAGTCCCATGCCTTTTCGCCCCACAGTCCTTGCTGGTGCCCTGGGACAATGGCTCAGAGTATCATGGAGGGCGTCATCTCCAGGGGTGCCTCAGAGACTCACCTTCTGCCCACAGCTCCTGCCATCAATTTCTTATAGATTTCAGGAAAGAAGGCTGGAGTGAATGGGGACAGTCTGCCTCTCTTTGGGGTTTAGAATAATTGAAAGGCAAAGAGAATTCTTCACCGCTGACCACCGTGGACTGACAAGTGGACAGGAGATTTAACCTTCTTCTTCTGAACAGATCTTACGCTCTGGGAAAACACCTGGGGACATGAAGGACACACTTGGACGAGGCGATGCTTCAGGCAAGTGTAGGGTGAGGGTGCACAGAATTATCCACCACCTGCCAGGAGGAGGAGAGAAATGGCACCCAGCCCGCTCTCCACAGAAACATCTCTTCGATACAATACTGTTTTTAAAAAAGTACCAAAAATAACATGGGCTTTGGTGTGATCCCTGCTCCATCTTAACTAGTGGAGTATTCTAAACAGAGTTTCCTCACTCCTTAAAACAGGTAAACTGTGAAGAGCAAAAGAAATAGTGAATGCAGATGAGAGCTTGGCAGATGCTGTTTTTACTTGATTAGTGTTCTAAGAAAGTAAGTTAGAGCTGAGTTCCTCTGTCTTGCCTTCTTTTTGTTCCAACTCACATGCATTTATTGAGCACCGATTATGGGACAGGCACTGAGCTGGACGCTGGGCTCACAGCATCGATGGAGACCGATTGTCCTCAGTTTGAAGGAGCTTAGAATCTAAATTTGCGAACATCAAACACACACTCGCAAACACCCCAGCAAAGGACCTGAGCTGTAAACACCTCCCCACACACCAGGCGGCACTGAGAGGAAGTGAGGTGAGAAGCAGTGACAGAGGGTAGCAGGCTGTGTGGAGACTCTGGAGAGGACAGGACAGAGCTGTTTTCCGAGACAGCACTGTCAGAACCCTAAGGATGGAGGGCAGCCAGCCACGCAAAGGGCCATGGGGACCATGTCAGGGAGAGGGGTCTGCCCGGGCCATGACCCCAAAGGCAAGAAAGAGCCAGGTGGATTATGGATCCCAATCTCCCCGCCTTTAAAACACGATGGTTCTGGGCCCTCCTCACCCCAGCAGGTGGTCCCAACTTCATCTTCTTCCCGGCCTCACCCTTGCTGCTAGGTCCCATCGTCTCCTCTCCCCCTTTCCTTCCCTCCCCTCGTTTCT